CCATAATTAATAAAACAGTAATATATGTACTCGAAAACTATAAAATGAACACATCAAACCTCATAATGCATTTAAAGCTGTAAAACAAACCAAATAACAGTAAATCATCAATCACACTAGACTCGGGCTCCATTAGCAACCTTAAGCAATTTCACACATGCGTTAATTCAAGAAATACCGTTTTATCATTTTGAACTTTAATACCGTGATAGGAAATAGGGTGAGGGGTCCTTACACGTTTCCGGGATCCGAATACGATTCACAGTGCGCCTACAGGCCGTCCCTAATTTTTCCTGAATTTTTCCCGGGGAACTGAAACACACTAACGGTACCGGCGGCGGTGCTCTCAGGTGCGACGGTTCTCCGGTGAGGTTCGTGCTTTGGTGATTTGGCTCCGATCAATTGTGCAATGAAGGTTGGGTCTCGGTGATGATAAGCTGCAATGTATATGATTGCCGCTCGGAAATTAAGGACAGCAGAGAGAGAGCTTCTTCCGTGACAGAGATGGCCTGAGTTGCTTGGAGTCGCTCTGAAGAAAATACAGAGATGGGTGATATTTGTGTTTATGTCAATAAGTAGAGGCCAGTAATTGGTTCTGCGAGTAGAAGGGAAATAAAGAATGAGAAGAACAATTTGAGGGGATTCTTTTTTTTAAGTATTTTGAGAAGAGTCCATGGAGAAGATGAGCTCTCTCTCTCTTCTCGACCTTCTCTCTCTCTCTACGCCCCTTTTGCCTCAAGGATTCCTCCTTTCTCTATTTTCTTGTTTTGTTCTTTATAGTGGAGCGAAGCTATTTAGATCAGCATCCCCGCACTGAAGATTCTCCAAATCACGAAAACCCATCTCTTCCCGCTCGCGACGTGCACGTCCTTCCTTCCTTCTTCTTCTCCCGTTTTCTGCGCCACTACGCTGCTTATAGTGGAGCGAAACTGTTTAGATCAGCATCCTCGCACTGAAGATTCTCCAAAAATCACGAAAACCCATCTCTTCCCGCTCGCGACGTGCACGTCTTTGCTTCCTTCTTCTTCTTCCGTTCTCTGCGCCACCATGCTCTTTTCCTTTTTTTTTTTTTTTTTTTTGGCTGGAAAAAAAATTAATGAGGTAATTACAAAAATGCCCACGTTCTGGGCGTTACAAGGTATTACAATAACACCAATTATTCTTTAATTAAATTATAAACGTATTTTATCATTTTATACAAGGATGTGAGTTGATTTATGAACATTATTTAGTTAAATAACGAGTTGTACAACTTATTTTAACAATAATTGTCTTCTAAAAATAAAATTTGAGATGTACAACTCACAACTTTAACTCACATCCTTATATAAAATGATAAAAATATTTATCATTCAACTAACATATTATTTGTGTTATCTTAGTAATTTAGTTTATCAATATTAGTATTTTTACATGATTTTTAAAATTTTTAAAATAAAAATCACACCAGACAATTCTATAACAAATTTTTATACAAAGTTTGTAAACTTATATTATAAAAAAATAAGGTGAGAAAAATATTACATAAAAATATTATGAGTATTTAGAATAAGAATTACTAAAAATTAAACAAAAAATTAACCAAATGTAGTATTGAATACTTATGGACCAAGATAATGAGTTATTTTATTTATTTTCAAAGCAAAACTTATAAGTTGTTAAGAAATAAGTAGAAATATATGTTTACTTCATATTACTTATAATTTTTATATAAATACCACATATTTAGTAGAAAATTTATGTACAATATATATTTTATTAGAAAATATAGATAAAGTCTGAATTAAAAGATGGAGTAAATTGTTGTAGTCCGCTATTGTTAAAAAAGGATAAAAGCTGAGAGAATAATAAAATAAAAATAAATTTTATTTCAATAATTTCAGAAAAAATTAATATTATTAAACTAAACCCTAATCCTTAAAAAAGCCCCCCCCCCCCCAACCCCCCCCAAAAAAAAAAAAGATGTCATTTGACGGGGGGGAAGTATTTTTCCCTCCAAAACATTCTATCGAAATAAAGAAATAGAAAGCCAAAGGAATCCAGACGCTCCTAATATTTCGTCTTCTTGGTCGCTCGGCTCACTCACCAAAGCTCTCTCCTTCATCACGTCAACGCAGAGTTCGAAAGGGATCGGGGCACTTATCCATGGAAGGTGGCGGTAACGACAGTCGGGATGGTAAACTGCAGCGGAAGGTAGGTTTGCTGTACGACGAGCGGATGTGTAAGCATCATACACCGGACGGCGAAGCCCATCCGGAGAATCCAAATCGTATCAGGGCTATCTGGAATAAACTCCAACGTGCTGGCATCCCTCAAAGGTTTTTCCTATTTTTTTAAAACTATTTTCTTTATTTTCATACTGTTCGCTTCTCTCTATTTCGTTTGGTTGCCGAGAAACCTAAATGAAGAATTGACATGGAGAATTTAATTTTATAATCTATTGGGATTGTCATGTTTAATGGAGGGAGCGTTTGTTCTTGTTTTATGAGGTTCTAGAAACGGGAAATTCACTCGCAAATTTATTGAATAAGACGTCCCTACCTTCGCCGAGTCGTAACAACGGCGTAGATCTTGGACTTTTAAGATCAGATCTATTCACTTCTGCACACTTCACTGTTTTGCTTTTTAGAAAAATGTAGGGGAGTTAGTCTTTATCTGTAAGTGTTTGTCGCATGTTGTCCTTTTGCTCTACATATACTGCATTTATGTGTTTTTTTTTGTTCATGTTTTGATGGATGTCCTGGTGATGCTAACTATTGAACTGATTGTATATTTCGCGAAATTTACTTGATGCTATTCTAAAAACGGTTTTGGGCGCTTCCTCCTTTCAGATGCGTGGTTTTAGGTGCAAAAGAAGCAGAAGATAAGCACATACAATTGGTTCACTCAAAAAATCATGTTAAATTGATCAAGAATATAAGCTCAAAAGAGTTTGATTTGCAGCGGAAGAGGATTGCTTCAAAATTAAATTCCATATATTTTAACGAAGGATCATCTGAAGCTGCATATCTTGCTGCTGGCTCTGTCATTGAGGTAATAAGCAAGCAATTTTGTAAAGCTACTGTAATGATTCTTAACGGTTTTGTTATGCTGCTTTTTTGTTTGATCTTTGACCAGATCACATCTTAAACTCTTGCATTTCACAAACAATTTTTTTGAAAGAAAAAGTATAATATGTTTGAAGTATCAAGGAGATGCAACCTGTATATAAAAATATTTTGCCATTCATGACCATATTAGTAACTAATATAATAGCTAAAGCTACCTTATATAAAATGAATGTTGCTTGATCTATTTGTTTAGCAAAATGCTAAACAGTTGTTTTCGGTGGTAAATATGGCATTTGGTCGACTTATGGTTTTTGTTCAGATATTCTTTCTGTTCTATTAGGCTCAAGGTCTTGTTGTAGGATAACAAGTTCTAATACTAATTAATAGGAAAAGGGAGAAGGATGAAAGATATTGTATCAAAATTCTAATTATTATTGAAATCCATCACCGATAGTTCTCCAAAGTTACAAAAAATTAGTCTCTATTAAGCTAAAATATCTAAGGGATTAATTATTTTGCAATTTACTTTACTTTAAACGATTTCTTAGTATATGGTATCAGGTTTATCATTGTCAACGTATATGTTTGAACTGTCAAATGTTTGGGCATCAACTGACCATCTTGTTAATGTCAAGAATAATTTTCAGTGCAGTTCAGTTACTCATTATAAGCTAGTTTATATTTCAAAGCTAAAAAACTAAATATGGTTGTTTTATCTAATAGGTAGCGGAGCGGGTTGCCAAAAAGGAGTTGGAGTCTGCTTTTGCTATCATTAGACCTCCAGGGCATCATGCCGAAGAAGATGAAGCTATGGGGTTCTGTTTATTTAACAACGTGGCTGTTGCAACACGTTTTCTATTGAATGAAAGAGTGAGAGTCAGTCTTAATTCTTTAGATATAGTTTCTTACCTGAAGTTATTAATCAATTACTTTTTTTGTTAGATGTATATTTGCCTATAGGGATTTAAATTAGATGTTCCTTTTTCAATCCTTTAATGAGTTGTTTCCTTGTTAACCATATACATTTTTCTATTTTCCAGCCAAATTTGGGTCTGAACAAAATCTTAATTGTTGACTGGGATGTTCACCATGGTAATGGTACTCAAAAAACATTCTGGAATGATCCTCGCGTTCTGTTCTTCTCTGTTCATAGGTACGTATGAAATCTGAGCCATGCTTATTCATTTGCTTCACCATCGTGATTTACTTGTAGTATAAGTCCCAAGCTTTCATGATATAAAGATAAAACTATAATGTTGGCAAGATCTCCATGTCCTCATGAAGCAGTTATATATGCTGGAAAGTAGTTTTTCTTTGGTTTTGTTTTTAAATTCATCTTGTTTCTGGCCTGAGTTTTTACCTTATGGCTTTTGATGCAGCTACTCCGAATGGTAATTATATTATGTTTTCGTTTCATGTAGGCATGAGTTTGGGAGTTTCTACCCTGCAAATGATGATGGATTTTATAGTATGATTGGAGAAGGACCAGGTGCAGGATATAATATAAATGTCCCTTGGGAGAATGCAAGGTGTGGAGATGCAGACTACCTTGCTGTTTGGGATCATATTTTGATTCCTGTTGCAAAGCAATTTGATCCAGACATAGTTTTCATATCTGCCGGATTTGATGCAGGTTCAATTCTTTTCCGTCTCCATTAAAGTTTTTATTTATTTATTTTATTTTTTAAACAGATCTTCTTAGAAGTTTTCTTGCTATTTTTTAAATGTTTGGTGAAGGTTTAGGTATTTAACCGTCTGATATCCTACTGATCTACTTACCTAGTTGGTTAGATGATGTGTATCACTTAGTTTCGTGATTGTTTAATTAATATAACATTTCACTTAATATCATGCCATTCCACCTTTTTTGTGACATATGCTTGAACTGAAGCTGTTTAGATGAAAATCTAGAAAAAACTGTTTTGTATTGTGAATAAATGTAAATTATCTATAAATTTCCAGGAAGTTTCTTTAGGAATTTAAGCAGATTCTTAACAAAATCAATTCATGACTAAGACGGCATCTTATCATTTTATAAATTGAAACAAAAGATAAAAAAGTGCTATCTTGAATCATGCGGAGGTTGATCTTTTGTTCTTGGATTTTGATCCAAGTCATTTGCCTACACTAATTAATGATTGTTAACCCCCCCCAACCCAAAAAAATCAGTAGCTTGCCATAGGCGTAGATATTTTATTTCTATACTTTATTAATCTCGTTTAGTTATATCTGAAGATACATCCAAGTAAACAAATAGTGGGTGGAAGAATTCAGTGGTATAACTGCACTGCAGGATGAAGCTGTTGGCTTAGCCATTAAGTACCATTTCTTCCTAAATGGTTATCGACAAAGCCATTCTGAAAATGATTTGCCTACTTTACTTTTGTAACATTAGATGATAGTTGATTTTCATAGCATTAGGTATTTTTGACCTTTGTTCCCCCTCAGTTCTCATATTCAAGTATTTCTTTGAACAGCTATTCGTGATCCACTTGGGGGTTGTTGTGTTACACCATATGGGTACTCTCTTATGTTGAAAAAGGTCGGTATTTAAATTAATATGAGTAGGAATGATAGTTTCTTTAATATAAAGAGAAAAGAATGTAAATACCATTAAGGATACGGCTTAACATTTGCAATACCTCAAGTTATATTTCAACTCTTACACTTGCTTCCTGTTACAGCTGGTTAAGAATTTCAGTCTCTAGCCTTCTACCATAATAAGTAATCTGAAGTAAGATCAATTGGTTTACAAATTTGTATATTGATTATACTTATTATGTATTCTGCATTTCAGTTGATGGATTTTGCTGAAGGTAAAATTGTATTGGTATTAGAGGGGGGATACAATCTTGACTCTATAGCAAATTCTGCACTTGCCTGCATGGAAGTTCTGTTAGACAAAAGACCTAGGCCTGGATCTTCAGAGGCTTATCCGTTTGAGTCGACATGGCGTGTAATACAAGCAGTAAGATAAAGTTTGATTTTGTGCTCAGTTAATCATTTTATATCCTCATGTAAGATAATGCTACTTTCTTCCCTCTGCACCCCCTTCCCTGGATCTATCAGTTGTAAGCAGTTTGTATTTCAGATAGGTATCATCTTGTTAATAATTGTTTACTTCTGAGGACTTTGGGGATTTGATTGAAAATTTTTTCAGCTTGTAAATAATTTTGTATATTAGTTGCATCCTCCTTGATGCTCATTAATACTATACTTTTTCTATAAAAAAAAGGTGTCATCTTGTTAAAGTATGTATTATCTGTTTTCCAGGTTCGCCAGAATTTAAGTGCTTACTGGTCCTCACTTGCTGATGAATTACCAGCGAAATTAACCAGTCAGAAGGCTCCTCCTCCAGTAAGACATCTTTTTTCTTGTCAATGATTTTTCTTACTACATTTGAGCAATTCTCTCTTTTTTTGAGATTGAAATTCTTTATAGTAGAACTTTACTAAAGTAGCAACTATTATATTAATTCCAAATAGAGAAATGACTACATTGCTATTATATTTGTTGATTTTGGAGAAAAAAGAATAAATTTTATTTCTCACCCTTTATGTTGTTACACATAAAGTATTTATATAATTTTTAATTTACTGATAAGAAAATTTTTATTATAATAAAATTCTAGTTATATGAAATTATTATTTTTGTAGAATTCTAATTATATCATTTCAACTATTTAAATAATAAACTAATTAAATAATAAAATAATAAAATATTCTAATCAACATCCCTTCAAGTTGGTGCAAAGATATCACGCATGCCCAACTTGCAGAATAAGTTCTGAAGAGTCATCCTGTAGTCTACCAGAAGTGGATGCGTGCGGAGGAACCAGAAGATGGATAAGAGAAGACCAATCAAAGCAGCTTGTGCGAGGAGGAAGCGGATCTGCGCCAGATCATGAAACTAGAGGCGGACACGCACAGACGAGCCGAAAGAAGGACCAAAAAAGGTCAGTCGGAGCAGCTTGCATGCAGAGGAAGCAAATTTGTGCCGGTATCGCGAAATCAGAGGCGGTCGCGCGTGGAGGAGCCAGAAAAAAGATCAGAAAAGGCTAGTCGAAGCGGCTCATGCGTGAAGAAGGCTTGTTTGTGCCCAGTGCAACTAGAGAACCTAAGAGAGAGTATGCATGTTGGAGAAGAAGAAGATCCGCGGTGGCCAAATTGCAGGAAAGCCAGATCAGAAAGTTTTCGCGCAATTTTCCCAGATTTGTGTCGGACGTGAACCTGTCGACAGTTTTTCTGATGACTCACGGTGAAATCGTGGCGAAACATGGCGACTGACGGCAACGTGTATAGCTCACGTGCCTCTACTGCTAGCGGCTAGTAGTGTCGGGAAAAAGCTGCGATGAGTCTGCATCACCGATATGGAGTGATAATGAGAGTAGATCTGGATAACTAAGTACCAAATCGGTCTATTATACTATTTTAGTGTTTGAAGGAAACTGTGAAATTAGAATTCTAAAATAACTTTATTTGGCTTTGATACCATATTAATTTTGGAGAAGAAAATATAAATTTCATTTCTGATTCTTTATATTGTTACACTTGAGATATTTATAGAATTATTAATTTACTGGTAAGAAAATTTTTATTGTAACAGAATTTTAATTTTATGAAATTACTATTATCATAAAATTATAATTACATAATCTTAACTACTTAAATAACAAATCAATAAAATAATAAAATAATAAAATAATAAAATATCCTGATCAACAACATTAAATAAACACATTTGCTTTAATAAGTCTTTTATATCTCAGGGATGTGTGCTTGCCTGTTACAACTAATTTTTTTATAGAAGTATATTAGATTAAGGAGAAGAGCCTATAAAGTGAAGGAGTATAAGCTGTCCTCAACATGAAAAAAACAACAAATACAAAAGTATATGGGATAACAAGCTGTGTCAACAAAAGAGCATCTAAATCTCTCTAGCATAGATAAAGGAGCATGTCAGAGCTAATAAATTAGAGAAATAGCCATGTCTATGCTTGCTGAGTCGGATGATTTAAAGAAATGATCGCCATATTACAGCTGTGAGAAGAAGTGATAACAGCATAGTTCCTGAGGATATTTTTCCTAGTAGTGTCAATAATTGAGGTTGTCACCATGCTTCAATAATTATGATTTTGTAAATGCATTGTCTGGTATTGGTCATGGTGGAACCGTCTTGCTGACCCTTTGTTATTCACCTAGCCATTGCACAAACAAGAAAAATATGTCAAGTGTTCTTCGTCTTATATGGTAGAACTCGAGATGCATAACAATTTAGGAAGCAATTACTAATTAGAGCATAAATCTGAGTGAAATTTCCACCTGTCTCTGGGGACTCTTGGATTTGCCTTCCCATGCTGGAGGTGCTTTGTGCCATTTGAGGAGTTTTATGAAGATTTAGGGGCATAAATCTTTATGGCTAGGCGTTCTTGCTCTTTTGTGTTTTTGTGGTTTTCATTTCTTAATGTTAGGAGAATATCTTAACTTCTCCTACTCTTTTGTACCCTCTCTTTCCCCTTAATAATTTTTTTTTTTTAATAAAAACAGAACTTGTTTTCAAAATTGCCTTTGTCTATCCTCCAAATGAATTAGGAGGCTATTTTACATTGATATTTTTCCCTTCTCTTCTTTTGCACTTTTTTTTTTCTTTTTCTCAGTGGGAGGATACTTTATCCGTTGTCTCTCTATTTTGTTTCCCTCTTTATAGGATCTTATTTTCTTATAAAAAAGTTCACTAGCATTTTTTTCCCAGAAGAAGAATAAGTATTATAGGCAAGGGCACCAAGAGAGTGCCACCCATGTCCAACAGTGAAAAAAAGGATTATGAGAGAGAATTAGCCAAAACACGGAGAAGGTCCGTACCTCATTGAGGAGAGGATGACCTTTAATTTTAACCAAAATGCATAAGATCCAGAACCAGAGATCACTAATTCTGGAAAAGTCAGATTCATGACCCTGGAAAACCCTTCTTTCTCTCCAAATAGTCCAAAAAATGGAGTGAGAAGTAAAAATTATGTTCTTTGTACTCTTGGCAACGGCTATAGCTTCCCAAGCAAGGAACTTCAGATATAGATTCACTCACCACATACTGGATGCCAACAGTTGGATGCCCAGTCCCATAGCCTTCTCCCCTCTGGGCTTCATAAAGGAGCTGTATAGGGTATTCATTAACATGAAGAGAAAAAGGGGCAACAATTGGCAATGGTTGAAGCCTATTCTTATTTGTTTATCCCAAGTCAAATTGTAGCCTAATGTCCTTAAAGTTGATTTCATGGGAAGGGACAGTTTATGGAAAATAAATACTGTCAAGGTGACTATTTTCGATACCAAGTGGCTGGTAGAGCTTTAATTATGAGTTTAGTTAGTTGCCTTGACTCCACTCAATTTTTTAAAACTTTTTTAGTTAATTTATAAATAAATTTAAAATGTTATTTTGCTCCATATTTCTTTTATTAATTTTGGTCCCATTCATCAGAGAGGTAGGATCAAGACTGAGCTTAAAAGAGTTGGAGAGCAAAAAATAGAGAACTTTGATAGCCTGAAAAGATTATTGTCTATACACTAAGATATTTGATATGGTTCCTAACTATAGATTTGTCATGGGATTAGATCTAAAATACTAGGATTTTTGGCTCATTAGAGAGAATCCGCCAATCTCCAGAGTTAAAGGTGATGCAGACGAGAAAAGACCTAAAATGGACATATTTTTATAATAATACATATTTATTCAATTGTAATGTTTATATGTTCTGAAGGTAATTAGCTTATTTAGGAATTTTTAAGTACATGGTTATTTTAGTATGGGTTTATTTTTTTATTTTTGGAAATAATTTTAGTATGAGTTGATTATTTCCTATTTTATTGGATATGTTTTTGAGATAAAAAGTATGTACGTATATTAATAGGCATTAAGGCAATGCCACCCATTTAGCTATTTTGTTAGGATGGTACTTAGTTATTTTTCTATTATTGAATAAAAATTAATATTTAGATTGTTTTCCTATCTTCTATATTTCTTATTTTGATTATATTTTGATACCTGTAAATAAGGTACCCTTATACAATTTCTAAGTAGGCTAATTCATAGTTATCATTCATATGTTGGGATATTGCTTTTATTCTTGAGATTTGAGATCTTCCTCTTACTCTATTGCTCTTATATTCTCCCTCTAAAGTCTTCACCTTTCGCCCGTATTTTCCACTCTATCTATTCTTTTATTATCTTCTTCCATATATTTTTCTCGACTTTATACACTGAGTATGATTCTACCATTACTTGTCCAACATCA